ATCAGGAATATCTGACTGCTTAGTCACCTCACCTACTAGCCTGCCAGCTTGCCAACCTGCCAGTCCATCCTTCCTACTCACTCTCAAGATAACCATAATAATTCAACTGTAAACCTAAAAATTTACAGCCAATTTTGAAAGGGATGCAGCTTAGCTTAGAAAATTGATATTGAATGTCAATGCTGTCTTAATGCTTCTTCTAAGTATGTGGTTATTAAATAAATAATTTAAATAAAAAACGTTATGAAAAATGGCTAGGAAGATGTCTCCATGAGTAAGAATGCTTGCTCATAAACATGAGGACCTGAGTTTTAATCGCCAGCAGCAACATAAAAAAGTGGGTTTGGTTCTATACAGGTGCCTCAGCACTGTAAGGTGGAGGAGGCAAGAAGATCCCTGGGGTGTGCTGGCTTCCAGGCAAGTGCCAGGTTGAGTGACAGACAGTGATTGAAGTTAATAAAGAAAAGAGAATGCTAGAGCAGGATACTGAGCATCCTTCTATCCTCTGCTCATGCACCTGGGTGTGCAGCTGCACAAACACCTGCACATCTCCGCCCCCTCGCTCTCTCACACACACACATACATGCACATGCACACACACACACACTGTAAAGAAAAATCTAGTAATACTTGATAAATGAATAGTAGAAAAGATACGAGGATAATTTTTTTTCTGTTTTCTATTTTTAAATTTTTGTTTTTAATTTGTTTTTACTGAATTTTGTGTATTTCCTATGGAACATCTCAAACAATCTTGATTAAGACTTATACCCCTGTCCTTTCTGGCACCCTCCCACCCACCCCCATTGGAACCCATATACCCTGTCACCTGCATTAAGGCCCACTGTGTCAAGTCACTGTCCCCAGACATTTCCCAGTGCAAGCCCATCCACCAAGGTCTAGTCAGCCCATCTAGTCTCTTGTTTTAGGAAGATCAGCGCTTTCTTACCTAGCAGTAATCAACTGCCAATTTTTTTTCAGCTAAGACTGGCATCTGCTGTTTACTTCCCCAGTTCTATGCTGGGTTTTTGTCTGCCTGAGTTTGCATGGGACTTTTGTACGCTGACACCGCTGCCACAGAATCATATGGGCAGGGTCCCAGGAGCTTGTAGGACTCTGTTTCCATATGGTCATGCACCCATCCCCTGGTTCTTACAATCTTTCTGCCCCCTCTTTCTGGATGGTTCCTGAGCCCTGGGTAGGTGAATTTTAATATAGGAGTCCTGTCCAAAGACCAACATTCTGCAGACTTAATCATTATGCTTTGGCCATTTGTGACCTTTTGTGTTCCTGGCCCTCTGTTGCATGAGGGAGCTTCATTAATGAGAACTGAGAGATTCATTAGTGTCTTCTTTACCTCTGTGCTATGCTCTATGCGCCTTAGGTATAGAGGTTGTCTCTCATAGATGTGCCACTTAGGCCAGGGCAATTCACAGACAATGTCTATGTGTGACCAGTTGTGGAACTTGGTAATAGTCTCCAACTGGTGCAAAATAAGCTTCTTTGATGAGTGGTGACTGGAATATTTTTCTGTAAATATAAAGTTACATAATTTGCACATAGTAAGAAATTATATTAGTCTAGGGATGTGACAGTTTTCTCTACAATCTATGACCAGTCCAGCCATGTGTATTTGGTTATGTTTACAATACCACACTTGAGTTTCCTCCTACTGAGTGGGCTTTTAGTCCAATTAGGTAGCTGTTGACTGCCCCCAAGATTAAAAGTGCCTCTACTGCACCAATGTTGTATGCTGTGCTGGCCGTTGATGTAGTTATTTGGTCTTGAAGCTGGTGCTGGACCATTGATTGATATTTTCCCTTGGCACCTTCATGTGCTCTCCAAAGGTATGAGAGCTAGCCTTTAGGGGAAGTGGCTTCAGAAACCAGGATACTTCTGAAGTCACATACTGCTACAAACATAAATGTAGGAAATACAAAAAGAACAATAAGAATAAATTTACAAACGTTGAAATTAAGGAATGGTAGGACATCTCAAGGTTTAACAAAAAGCGGAACAGGACAGCTCAAAGAAGGCCTGCAAAGTGCTAGCAGAAACCACCTTCTATGAGAACAATAGGCTAGTCAACTCCACCACAGTGGGAACCAGGTTTCCATCAATCTTCTGACAGACTAAGTGCTTAAAAAATATTTACCACTCAGACACGGCTATGTGGCTCTATAATCTTTGGCAGCTGAGGCATATGGATTGTGAATTCAAGACCAGCATGGACTACACAGCAATATCCTATCTCCAAAAGCAAAACCCAAATAAGGTTAAAAACTAAATATTTTTATATTTGTTATGATCCAGTTCGGCTTTCTTCAGCCTATTCTCAATACCATGATTTTGTCAAAGAGTTTCATGAAACCCATGCTCACTGTCTTCATCATAACTTTGCAGATACCACACAGCCCTAGTATAGAAGGAAAGAGGGATAGCTGAGTATGAATTACTTTCAATGCACTAATCGTTACCTCTCCAAATGTACTGATCTCATCAATCTGGAAGGGTATATTCAAAGTCCTTGCCCTTGAAACTGTCCCCTTTAATTACTACTAAATGTTAAAGTGGAGTGCTAGAATGCTCTTTACAATCACCTATTTAAGTTGTGTCTCAGGTACTCTTAGACAACATGAATTCCTAAATGCCCTCCAAAAAATTAGAAAGGAAGAACCATCACTGACAGTGCTATGCAAGGTCTATTCTATAGGATCCCAGAAATGGTTTGACTTTTGACACTGTCACAGTCATTCCCCTTTGTTCTAGAGCAGCACATGTTTTTTTTTCCAGTGGTGAGTTACTCTCACCTCTCCTGCACCTCAGCTCAGTGGTTTGATAGGGTTGTAGATGTAGCTCTAGGACACAGTGTGTCCTTCTCCCTGGTCACAGAGAGCCAGTTAAGAAAAGTCATGCAAGACCTGAGACAGTTAACCCTGTTAACTAACAGTTAACCCATGTTTCTAGCCATAGTGATTAATTTGGAGCTGGCCACTTGGGTCAATGAGAGTTAGACCCAAAATTTTATTGCCATTATTAGAAAAACAAACTTGTTCTTTTCTGCTAGAAGTGCTAGCAGGAACGACAATGTGCAAGAGCAAACAGCCACAAGCCACAATGAACATGAAGCCAAAATAGATGCCAAATGAATCACAGAGAGAAGGGGATCAACTCCTAACTAAACCCGTTGTACCTGAAGCTGGATCTTCTATGTATTCTTCAGTTTCTATACCATAACATCCCACTTGTGCTTAAGCCAGGAGAACTGGATTATAAATTCCTGATGGAAAGATCCCTGGCTAATGCAAATTTCTAAGCAGATCTCACTTTAAGGATAAATTCAGTAAAGACATAGATTACTATATTAGTCACTTTTCTGTGGGTGTGATAGAAACACTGACCAAAGCAACTTACAGAATGAAGAGTTTATTTGAGCTTATGGTTCCAAAGGGGCAAGAGTCCACCATGGCGGGGAGGCCTGGTGGCTGAGGTAGCTGGAGGAGGAGTGGAAGCTAAGCTCTCACATCTTCGAGCAGGCACAGGAAACAAGAGAGTGACGAGATCTGGCAAGGCTTAAGAACTCTCTAAGCTACCTCCAGTGATTTGCTTTCTCCAGCATGGTCACACCTTCTAAGACCTCCCAAAACAGTGCCACCGACTGGGGACAAAATGTCCAAATACTTGGCACCTATGGAGGACACTCTCATTCAATCCACCACATGTCCCTCTTTTATTTACCAGCTGGTTTATTTTATGGTAAACATAATACAAAAATACTTCATGTGAAGTTTTTGCTTGGGAATTTCTACTTGCAATTGAGAACACTCAAGTGCAATCTCTCCTATGCCAAAATAACATAAGCAAACCTGGAAGATAAGCAGACTATGAAGGCTGCACTGAGGATAATCTGGGGTCTGATCAGCTTGTCTCAAACACTGTGAAGCCTGATTTATCCTCTGGCCCTGAACTTGCCATATGAAGCTGCTGATGCAAGGAAAATCCAGAATGAGAATGCGATGTTAGGAGATGACAACAGCCAGAATGCCTACTCAGGCACTTCTATTAAAAAAAGCAGGAATCGTTGGCTATTGCACTACAGCTGCAAGAAACTAAAGTATCAGACTCTACTTCATTGCAAACAGGATTGCGAGGATCACCGTGGCAAAAGGCACTGCTACTACAAACACCGTTATGGATAGGTGCCAGAAGATGAAAAGAATAGCCAGTTTGGGGGGTGGAAATTTTCAAGACCAATCCCTGAACTTCTAAGTTTGAAATAATCATTCTTTTAATTTGACACTTATAGTTGACAAACTACAAGTGTGGATACCTAATCTACTAGTAAAAAAATTCTATCTCTCCTATGTGAGTCTTTTGCGGTACAGGAAGGACCTTATCTTCCCAGATCTAAAACAGTACATAACACAAAGTAGCTGCTCAGAAAATATCAGCCACTACACCTGGAGAGACAGCTTAACAGTTAAGAGCACTGACCTCATTATTCTTGAAGAGGCCAGGGCTTGGTTCCCAGCATCCCCATGGTAGTTAACTGTCTTAACTTCAGTTCCACGTGATCTGACACCCTCTTCTGGCCTCCTTAGGCATTGTAGGCATGGGTGCACTTGCATCAGGAAAAAGATTCATACACATAAAATACAGATACATATATTTTTTTAAATAAGAAAGCCAGGTATGGTAGTGCATCACTGTGACCTCAGTACTAGGGAGGCAGGAGTTTTAGAGTTAAGCCAGCCTTGACTAAGTAGTGAGACCCTGTCTCAAATACAGAGAGAGACAGAGACAGAGACAGAGACAGAGAGACAGAGAGGAAAAGAAAGACTTAATGTATGGTGAAATTATCAAAATATTCAAAGACATCAATTTTCCCAAATTAGCCATGCCTGATCTTGCCTAGCTACCAAGATCAGATGAAATAGGAGGCATGTAGGGGGGCATGGCCATAGGCCCCAAGACATCATTCCTCTCATCAAAACACTCACCAGTTGACAAGGCCTCCTCCCGAACATCTCCCTCACCAGGCTGATGAATATTCCAGGATGTTTTGGGAAGTAAAGAAATTTCTTCAGGTGATGTTAATTTCACCATATCCATGTGACTGCTATTGAATTGGTACTGAGGGATGAAGCAGGTTTTGCCTTGTTTGAAAATGTCCTTGATGATCTCCTCCGTCTCAATTTCATCTTGCATGCTCAGAAAGATGGAAATTCTTCTGGAATTTTGATACTGACTGTGGGCAATCACCTAAATGGGAAATGATGGGCAACTATAACTTCCGAGATTGTACTTCGATAAATTAGATACTCTTCTTACCAACTTCTCCCTTTTCTCTCAGCCTTCTCCAAGCAAAGTGGCATAGCGAATTAGACAATGGTTAAGTCCTGATGCCTAGCTTTTAGTTCAGGAAGCAAGACTTGCATATATGACCCCTTTACCTCTGGTACATTAACTCTGGTAGGTATGGAAACTCATTAAAAAGTCATAAAAGAGACAAGTTGTCCATCATCAGAATCCCAGGACTTGATCCTCACGTATCCACTTTAGTAGTCTAGTCTTCTCACAGACTTCCTCCAGGGTCTTTGGCTTATTTTCTCTCTCAACTTTGGCTCTCAAAAACTTTATTTTTTCCCCTAAATTTTATCCAATGAAGCCCAACTCAAGCCCTCACTTTCCTTACCTCTGCAGAATCTTTACTACATTTGGAGTGAATACACAACACTTTACTCTGCCTGTGAAGTGTCTTGAGTCAATTCTTGACAGTTTATGTGTTGTTCTACAAGTAGGATTCTCAACCAGTCCCAAAGATCCCTGCAGATCGCTTAGCTTATCACCAACCCCATTCTGTTCAATGGAGTCTTCAAAAAATTCACTAAACTGGGAGGGGGTGGGGGGGCATGTTTCTGGAGCAAGAATCCATAGTTTGCTGAATCATTCATCAAGCAGAAAGGGGCTAGGTTTATTCATCATAAAATCTCGGGAACTTACCCAGACTCAGAAGTTGGCCCTTTACTTTTCCCCTACATTCCTTTTCTGTTTCCACCTATCCTCCAAGTTAGAAGAGCTTAATTCAAAAGCAGCTTACAAATGTGACTGGCAGAAAGAAAGAGATACAGGTACAGAAGGCCAAGTTAACCTTGGGTACAAACACAAAGGGAAAGAGAAATTAGGCAGAGCATATCAAACCAGGGCTAAAGAAGAAAGTTATCTCCTGTCTTCTGAAAAGCTGTAACAGCTGTCGTGAGGCCTGGCACAGGCAAAGCAAATGAAAAGCTGAAACCCAGATTTTGGGCAGGGCTGAAGCTCTGACACCCAGGTACTATATGAGCAAGTGTCTTTCTTAGTCTCTTTAAAGCAGAATATAGAAAGTCAAGAGCGGAATAAGCAGGAAGAGATACCAGATAAAATTCAGTGTGAGGCTGTGCCTATGGTTTTATCTTCCTCCAGTCCTAGTTACTTTCTATTTGTAAAGAAGTGAGAAGAAGGAAAATACATTAGAGCAGTGAGGGTTTAAAAAAAAAAAAAAGCAGAAATTTGACTAATTCCTATCAGAGGCAGGAGACAGTACAGTACTTCTAGCTAAAGCTGCACTAAAACACGGACACAGGACATGTGCAGAATCTATTCTTTGCTTAAATTTCCAACCAATGTCTACAAAAGGCAGAGGAAATCTTATCACTAATGCACTTTCATTCACAAATATGCACAGAAAATAAGGTCTGAGAGTGTCACTCATTGGTAGAAGGCTTGACTATCATGTACAAGGTGCCGGGTTTGATGCCCAGTACCCAGAGAAAACATAAATATGCATAGCCAATCAATGATTATCTAACAGTCTGAAACACTAAAACATAAAATGCATTTTTTAAAAGTAAAAATGGGAGAAAAAAATGACTCAGTGTAAAACATAATTCATAAAACAGAGACTATTTTTGAGATTCTAATTAGTTTTCTCAGATAAGCTAAAAACAATCATTGAATCTATAAAACATCAATAAACGCTAGGGAGAGGATGCAATTAGAGATGTAAGAAATAATCATTTGAAATTAAAAGTATGATTACCAAAAAGAAAACAATTAGGAGAAAGTCTTTCAGTAGCAGAAGAAAAATAGGAAAAAATGAGGACGAATGTTAAAAAGCATAAAAGTCAACCTAGAATTTTTATTATCCAATCAACAAGATTTCCAGAAAAACACTCAGGAAAACTAATAATCAGGCTATAATAGGTAAAGTCATCAGTCTCTAGCCTGGATGACTAGGTATTGAGCAGTGTAAGAAAAATACTTTAAACCTTGAAATTCAGATTATCAGCCAAATGTGAGATTAAATAATTTAATGTGCAAAATATGACAAAGTTTACCCAATCACATAGAACTGTCTTTAAAATAATTTAGCTGATGATATCCAGTAAGTTCAGTAGTAAAAGTATGGAAGAAAGACGACTGTGACATAAGAAACAGCCCTAACACAGGGGCAGGAACTCCAAGGCAGTGGCTGCAAGGACATATTTTAACAGACAAGGCAAAAAAATAACCTACTGACAGGTAAGTTGACTCTACTTTTGCCAAAAACAGAGGGTAGATTTTTAAAAAATGACTGAAAAAGCGAAGACCTAAATTCGGAACATGTTCCAAATATAAACAAATAAAATATGGTATGATTGTGAGCAGGTGTAGAGTAAAAGACACTTGAGACAACCCTCTTCTGGCCACACATAGCTAGTGATATAAAATCATTTGTGCTCTTCTTACATATTCAGTCAAAGAATTTGGTTTTGGCAGTGAATATGAGCTGTATAACAAAAATGCTATAAGTGGGGCTGGAGGAATGGCTCAGCATTAAGAGCACTGGCTGCTCTTGCAGAGGACCGCGGTTTGATTCCAATAACTCCAGGTTCAGGGGATCCGACGCCCTCCTCTGACGTCTTCTGGCACTGCACGACATGGTGCACCTACCTACATGAAGGCAATACACTCATACACATAAAAAAAAAATAAAGTTTATTTTTTAAAATGCTCTAAGTATTCTTTACTGGAATTTCAAACTTGGAAATGGGCCACAAATAACTGGTCAGCAGACTCATTATATACAGGACAGAATTCAAACACAACTTAGATATATAAAGGTGTCAGAAAGTAACAGAGAGAATGAAAGGTGAACAAAGGACCACTAATTTCCTCACCTTAATTAATGAGTCAAGGTATGTCATAAGGCTGAACTTCTTTTTCTAAATGATAAAAACGGCACTGTGGGCAGGCATGGTGGTGTAGCACTCAGTAGGCAGAGGCAGGTGGATCCTGCTGAGCTCCAGACCAGCCAGGGCTACACAGTGAGACCCTGTACTGTGCCAAAAAGAATTTGTTTTTAGTAGTTGTAAAACGATGCCACTGAATACCTTTATTAATATTCCCTATGGCAAAGCACAGGACTCATTACTATGTACTGATCCTTGGGGCCTGGATTCTCCTTTGGGTCACTGAATGAGTAGTGAATTATAATCAGTAATTTAAAATGAAAAGTAAAAGAAAACATTAGACTTGATGGCATATACTCAGTTGTGAAATACACTGTGTGAGTTGAGATCCAATAAAACATCACTGAGAATGAGTCTGCTTTCTTTCTCTATCTCCCTTTGAGGTCAGCTCTTAGCTGTCAGTATATTGCTGTCATATGTCTATCTCTATATTAGCTGCTATTCCTACCTGGGTTTTATTCATTGTAATCCTGTACAGTCATTATTTGAGAGGCTGAGACAGAAGGATTCCTTGAAACAGCCTGGACAGCATAGTGAGACTCCATTTGAAAAAAAAAAAAAATGACCAGAGAAACCAAACTGCTCTCACCTGTATTCACCTCCCATACCCTTCCACAGTATGCTCCAACCTCTGTGTTCCTTATGCTTAGTAAGATTGAGTACCATTATCCCAAACTCTAAATATTAGACTCATAGGTGATTAATACTCTCTAACCTCCATTCAGTAAGTTACCAAGCCTCTCCTTACCTCCTTTTACCCGCTTTTTCATTGTCCATTCTGTGGTTTACGTCTTTATTTACATTCATCTGAATATCACAACAGCCTCTTAATTCTCATGTAGTCATATCCTCTCTCCCTCCCCCACTTTTTCCCTTTCTTGCTCTTGCTTTCCTGCTTCTCTCCTTTCCCTGAAGGACATATCAAAAATACACAAACAGCTGGATCTGGATCTGGTGATACACACCTGCAATCCCAGACCTCAGAAAGCTGGGCAGGAGAACTGTCATTGTAAGGCCAGCCTAGGCTACATACTGAAACAATCTCAAAACAGAAAAAAAAAAAATGTCTGTAAAATACTGAATTACACCACTTTACACATCACTTTAACTCTCACATAGGCTCATACATGTTGTAACGGTTTTTAAAATAGCAGAACCAGTTTAAATCCAGATCTATGGCATTCCAAAGTCCATGGTAAAAACACCCTGTCCTATGCAGGTCACCAACCTCATTTTTCCCCTTACCTAACAAAATTCCTCCTGCACTGCAAAACATATCTCAAACACCCTTTGTGTCTTCTTGTCTGTTTTCTGATGTAGCTAAGGCAGGCCTCAAACTCCAAGCTATGAAGATGACCTCGAAGTCTCCAGGCTCCTATGGTACTTGTAAAATCTGAGTTCGAGTTAAAGGGTCACCGTGCAAGGCTCAAAACATGTTATAAAATGTTTTCTAATTCTCCTTCCCCCAGGTTATGTGTTCCACACCTAGAGTTTATCATACTGACTACATTACAATTCTCTCTCTCTCCCTCTCCCCACCCCCCACCCCCGTGTGTGTGAGGAGGACCCAGGCTACCAAGTACCACTGAGCTTTATCTCCAGCCCTACAATCTTTTTATTCATCTGTCTTGTCTGCTACATCCTCTGCTCCTTTAGGGGCAACAAGCACCTTTTCCACCCTACAATCCAACAGGCAGCAAATGCACTATTACTGTAAATCTGTGAACTAACTAAAGCTGAGACTAAGGGCAGAGTTCCACACCCCCCCCCCCCCCCCCCCCCCCCCCCCCGCACCGCTAAGCCAGCAGAACGCCTTTCCTCACAACTGGAAAGCCAATTCCCTTGGAATGAGCAAACTCGCACCCCTGAGCCTCCCTCGGGAGCCCCACCCTGACAGACATACCCCAGCCCCCGGTGCGGAGCCCACGCAGGACAGTCCTGGGCGGGTAAGTGGGCGCCCTGGGAGACCGTGTACGCATGCATGGGGGGCTGCGCCTGCGTAGATTCCCCGTTCCAGACTTCCCGGCACTTAGTCCCCGGCCTTACTCCCCGCAGCCGCTCACCTTCTGGGTAAGGAGGTGGGACTGACGCCGCCGCTCCTCAGCACTCATGGCCCGCAGACGCCGTTTCAGCTCGGCCCGCAGGCTTCGCTTGGCGCTGCTCACGGTCGCCATGGCCATCTCCGCCCCCGCGGCGCCGCCCGTCTGGCTCGCCTCCAAGTCCCGCTTCCGGGTCTGCGGCCACGCCCCCTGCGGGCGGCTCTGCTCCTCCTACTGTCGGTGCCTGTGGAAACCTAGCCTTTACCTCCAAGTGCCTTTCTCCCTTTATTGGTTCCTGGGCTGAAGGGTGATCCTTTAGGGGCCACTGATGCTGCAAATGGCAAGCTCTTCTTACAGCTGGATGTCCCGTCCCCTCCGGAGAACTCTGGACGCAAAGTCAACCACCCTGTTCATCATCTCTGAGTTCAACAATATTGACATTGTTGGAACTTGCTCTTCAAAGACAGATAACAGGACATTCGACTGATGGGGAGCAGAGAACAAAGTAACAGAGGGGAACTTTGCATCAGCCGTACACGTCCCATCCCCACACATCCATTTCCAGTGAATACCCAGTAATTAATTTTTAAAGGTTAATTTTTCAGAGCCGGGGAAATGACTTAGTGAGTAAAGTGCTTGCTACACAAGAATAAGGACCTGAGTTCGAATCGCCAGTGCTCTCGTAAAAAACCAGGTGCAAAAGCATACACCTGTCATTTCTGCACTGGGGAAGTGGAGACAAGAGAATCCCTAGAGTTTGCTGGGCAGCTACTCTTGCTAAATCAGTGATCTCCAGGTTCAGTGAGGGACCCTATCTCAAAAATAAGGTAGAGCATGATAAAGAAAGACATCTGACATTGACCTCTGACCTCCACATGCGTCTTCATACACACATGCACACAAGTTAATTTTTCAATGGATAAAGTTCTTAACCTTTTAAATAGTTGCTGGCTAGAACCTAAAGTTCTACAAGGTGGTATGCAATTGAATTTCATTTTTAAAGTTTGTGTAGAAGACTGGAAAGATGGTTCAATTGACCAAATATGCGCAGGGCAAGCATGGGGAACTGAGTTTGATCCCCAGAACTCATGTAAAAAAGCTGGCCATGGTGACATGCCCTTGTAATCCCAGCACTGGAGAGGCAGAGAAAGGCAAGCTCCTAGGGCTCACTGGCCAGCCAGCCTGGCTAAATCAATGAGACCTAAGCCAGTGAGAGACTGTCTCAAAAAACAAGGTGGGTACAACCTGAAGGAACAACACCTGAGGTAGTCCTTTAACCTCTACCCACATGGCTTCACATGCAAATGCACTCGTACAGGTGTGCACACACAGGACAACTATTACATACACAAAGTTAGTGTGGAAAACAAGCTTTAAGACTATGTAGCTCATGGACTTGGTGGCACTGAACTCCTTTTTCTGTTCCTCCCAGTGTGGCCATACTGAAAATGCTGTCTGCTTTTCTCATCTCTTGGATTGCTGTGTTGGGATGAGGAGCTGAACTCACCCTTATAGGGGCTGCCAGAACCAGGACAGGAGAAATGGGCCAGGAGAAAAAAAGTGTTTTTGACGTCTGCCTCTCACAGCAAGTCAACCCCAGGTGCACAAGAAAGTGAATTTTCCCTCGCAGCTACTGGATTAACTGCTGTTCCTAGGACTTTTTATATCTTCCACCTTGTCTGGGACCAGCTCACCTCTTCCACTATTTGTCGAGACAGAGAAACAAACATCTGGACTCTGCAAGCACTGAAGTCTGACTGTTGGTAAGTTCTCCCCAGCCAGTGGACTTAGGGCCTGGCCCTTCCTCTCTCTTATCAGTTTGAGGGCCCTTTGAATTGTTTGGAGTCTTAGTTAATTTATTTGAATTTCTGACATTTCTCTGAAAGGAAGAGTAGGTTTTTCATCTTTTGGGGGCTTCTGAACCATGGCGGGGTTTTTTTTAAACATTTGGCCTACTGCTGTTTGTTTCACAGGCTTTGCCTTTGGAGAATCTTCATTAGCGTATATTAGTGATGCATAATAATGAGTTTTATGACATTTTCATATATACAGTGTATTTTGATCTTAGTTATCCCCAGTTACCCTCTCTTGTCCCCTCTTCCTTTTCCGAACTACTTGTACTTTCATGTCTGGGCCTTTTTTGCTTTTAGTTTTGGATTTGGTTCTTGTGCACCAATGAGTTTAATTAAGGTACTTTATAGGCACATGGGCCACTTACCAAAGGCTATGCCACTGAAGACAACTCCCACCCCCAGCATGCTTTCACTAACCACAGGTCCTCAGGGATTAGTGAGGCTTCACCAAGCCTCTCCCTTTGGGGACCTGAATCAATGTGCAGTCTGGAGTAGGATGAATTACTTGGGCATCTAATCTTTGATGAACCTTATTTGGAGCAGGTCCTGCTTTTGTGAGCAACTCTGAATTCATCTGAACTTTTGGGATATCTACTGGTGTGACAGGGAAAATTGAATTCTATAGTTTTGTGTTGGTAACTAGTAAGGAAAGCATATAAGGTAAACAGAAACAAGGGTGTTTGGGAGATCTCTATCATAATTTGTGTAACTATGGAAAATATAAATTTTATGCTATCTTGGTGTCCTTTCAAGAAATTTCTAACTAACCAGACTTTAATGAACTCGTGATAATTTAAGAGTGCACTCTGAATTAATGTGCACTGGATTAATATGTGTCATTTTGTACCTAAAAGAGCATAGCCAAAAAAACTGACCCTGGAATTTCTGAAAATAACTGAGTAGCAAATCTGTGTGCTTCATTTTTGGAATTAAAAATTATCTTTATCTTAAAATATTTTGTTTATTATTTTATGTGTATGAGTAGTAGTTCTGCTGCAGGTAAGTGCACCCGTATTATGCAATTCCGGCAGAGTCAGAAGAGGGCATTAGATCCCCTGGAACTGGAGTTACAAATGGTTTTTAGCCTCCAAGTGGGTACTGAGATTGGAACCCGGGTCCTCTGCAAGAGCAGTCTGTACTCTTAACTGGTTAGCTATTTCTCCAGGCCCTTTATTATGTGTATGAATAAGTTTTGCCTGCATGTATAAAGTACACCTGTGTTGTGCAATACCCGTAGACAAGAAGAGGGTGTTAAATTATCTGTAACTGGAGTTACAGATGATTATAGGCCGATATGTAGGTGCTGGGAACTAAACCGGGGTCCTCTGCCAGAGAAGCCTGTGCTCTGAACTGCAGAGCCAGCTCTCTAGCCCCTCATTTTTTCAATTCTTAAAATGTATTGCATGATGAAATGATTCTCGGCTTGCCTAATTTAATGTGTGTGTGTGGATATTTTTAGGATGATTTATGAACTTAAAATTATAATCTTAATGTATAAGGGCTATTTCTTGTCTGCCTGATCTCTCTTCTTTTTTTCCCCTCTTTTATTGATAATCTTTTTTACTGATGAATCTTTTGAAAAACTGATTATTCAAGGTTCTTATCTTAGGCTAAAATGCAGGGATTTAATAAGAGTTAACAATAACCCTCCCTCCTCGTCGTCCCCATTTATAAATTGTCCCCATTTTCTCCATTTCTCCCTTGATAATACCAGTCTCCTATGGTCCCACCTTTCTTGAGCTCTTTCTTCCCCTTCATCCCCATAGTTCCTCCTATTTAAATACCCCCATTTTACCCATTTCTCCCTTAGGAACACCTGACTATACTGTTCTTCTCTCAGATTCCTTCTTTCCCTTTAGCTCTCTGGGTCCTTTCCCTTTTCCTGGTTCCTGCAGCTTCATCAGAATATGTAGTCACATATAAGGATTTGGTGTTGGGATCCACAAATGGGAAAACACATCATTTGTTTTACTGTGTTACTTCACTTGGTATAACAGTTTCTAGTTCCATCCATTTACCTGAAAAGTTCATGATTTCATCTTTCTTTACCACCAAGTAGGACTCCATTGTGTAAATGTACCACATTTTCATTATCCACTCATTAGTTGAGGGACATTTAGGTTGATTCCATCAGCAACAAACATGGATGTACAATTATCTCTCAACAGAGAGGGAGAGAAAGAGAAAAGATAAATAACACCTAGCTAGTGTTTAAAAGAAGGGGGTGGGGATCATATTAGTCCAAAAACCTACTGAAAAATTACACATACAGTAGCTCCACACGAGCCTGTGTAAGTAGCTAAAAGCTGCATAACAAGTAGCAGTGCCAGGCAGGAGAAACCTTCCTTTGCGTTGTTGGCCAGGGTGGTCCAAAAGACTCCTAAAGTTATACAACCTATTCCCACAGCTCTTGCTTGCCTCCCAGAACTTGAAAATAAGACCCTATTGTGAAGACAGGGCATACTTTGAACACAGGACTTGAAGCAATGGAGACTGACCTGGAAGCCTCCTCCCCTGAAAATTGGCTCTCATTGCTTTGGGGAGCACTGTGAAAACTGCTAAGGGAGAGCATCAACTGATGGTCCAACCATAGCTTCAGGACCTAATAAGCCACATCAATGACCAGCACAGCAAATGACATTGGTGCAGTAGTGGCACTTTCATCTTGGGGGTAAGCAACAGCTACCCAATTGGACTTAAAGCCCACTCGATGGGAGGAAATTCATGTGTGGTACTGTAAACAACAATACACACCACTGGAGAGGACATACATCTTAGAGAAAACCCTAAAACTGTCACATCCCTAGACAAATGTAATTCCTTACTATGTGCAAAATATGGATCCTTATATTTACAGACAAGTATGCCAGTCACCACTCATCAAAGAAGCTTTTTCTGCATCAGACAGAGACTATTATGGAATTCCACAACCTGTCACTCACAGACATTGTCTGTGAATTGCCCAAGCCTAAGTGGCACATTTACAATGCAACCTCTGCACCTAAAGCTCACAGAATATAGAACAAGGGGTAAAGAAGACACTAATGCATCTCTCACTTCTCATCAATGAAGCTTCCTCATGCAATGGGGGGGGGGGCAGGAACAAAAACAGTCACAAATGGCCAAAGTGTAGAGGGTAAGAGTTTGTCAAGTGTGGGTCCTTGGACAGGACTCCTATATTAACTTCCACCCACCCAGGGTTCAGGGACCATTGCAGAAGAGGGGGCAGAACGATTGTAAGAGCCAGGGAGGAGGTGCATAACCATATTGAAATGGAGTCCTACAAGCTCCTGGGTCCTTGCTCATATGAACCTACAGCAAAGATTTCGGCATGCACAAGACCGAGGCAAACTCAAGCAGACAGGACTATGGAAATGGGCATCAGGCCCCAATCTTAATCAAAGAATATTGGCTGCTGATTACTGCTGGGTAAAGAAGAGTTGATCTTCAAGGGAGGGACTCTCAATAGGCTGACTAGATCCCAGTGGATGAATTTTGCACTGAGGGACAGCTGGAGGGGGGAGATCTGTGGAAGAGTGCCAATGGGGAAGAGGATATATAGTTGATTAAGGCGTTCTGTATGAAATACACAAAAATTCAATAAAAATTTTAAGCCAAAAAAAAAAAAAAAGTTAACAATATAGGAGAGATTGGTGGGGCTGGACGCATGCCTGTCTGCTCCAGTGCTGTCTGTTCCTACACTGTTTTCCACCGTCATACAAACACATCAGAAGTGAAGCCCAAGCGGGGAGCAAAGATGGAGAATGATCACATTGACTTGAGTGGCAGGGTGCAATGACTGGGTAGTCAGTCCAAGACCAAGAGGCACACCCTGATGAATGAGCTGATGAAAGCCTACTGTGAGAGGCAGGGTTGCCAATGAGACAGATTATGTTTAGGTTTAATGGGCAATCAATTATGCAAACACAGAGAGTCTGGCAGCATAGCACAGGGAGTGCCTATCTAGCGTGAAGAAGGCCCTTGGTTTGACCATCAATACTGCAAAAGTAGTAGATAGCTTTGTCCAGTTAGGAAAAGCTTTGATTTTCTTGAGGAAAAGCATTTGCTTCATTTACTCCCAATCTTTGATAATACCAGTTCCACTCCATACTGTACATTTCCATCAAAGATGTCCTAGTGATACATGCAACCTTAAATGTGAAGCGCTTTATGGTTCTGAATCTCCTGAGAGCTCTGTGAGCTTACAGGTGAGGCTCATGATAGAGTCATAGATAGCCCTAGTTCCTCAATGTGTTCAGTCCTCTGAAATCCTTTGTCCCCCTATATATTTTTTTTAATTAATTTTTGTGCATTTTATACACTATATCTTAATCTTATTCAGAGCCCCTCCCTTACTTGCACCCTCCATAGCCTCCCCACCAGACCTCATGCATTCTGTCATACATGCCAAGACCTATGCTAAGTCTCTGTTCCTAAATGTCCCTTGGTGTGAGTTCCTCCACTGAAGCCTGGTCAGGGTACCTAGTGTCACTCCCCCAGAGAAGATCAACTCTCCCCTACCTGGCAGTGATTGATCTCCAATAGTTTCTCAGCTAAAGTTAGGATGCCCCACCCATTTCCCCAGTTCTATGCTGAGTTTTTGTCTGGTTTGTGCTTATATGGGTCTTGTGAATGCTGTCACCATTGCTGTAAGTTCATATGAGCAAGTTCCCAGAAGCCAAGTTCCTTGTTTCCTTGTGCTCATCCACTACCTCTGGCTCTTAGAATCTTTCCACCCCTTTTCTACAATGGTCCTTGAGCCCTGGGTAGCTGAGGTTTAATATAGGAGTCCTATCCAGGGGCATGCATGTCACAGTCTTCTATTCGCTACATTTTGGTCAGTTGTGGCTCCATGTGTTAATTGCCCTCTGCTGCATGAGGAAGCTTCCTGGTTATAGTTGAGAGATGCA